TGTGTGTGTGTGTGTGTGTGTGTGTGTGTGTGTGTGTGTGTGTGTGTGTGTGTGTGTGTGTCGCGTGCGTGAATATTGTTCTTACATGCATTTATGTAACGCGCCTAGAGCTGTGTTTACACGGGAGTGGGCGCTATAGAAAATATGATCTTCAATATTCATTATTAGTGTTGTGTAATCAGCGTGAACAATAATTCTATTACTCGGCGCCTTAGTTTTTAAAGCACACACAAGGGGGAATGTTTCAACAACATAAGTTGTCCTCCTTGAACTGCCAATCTACCCTTTGTGAGAGCGGGCCTTTTGTTGGTGGACTGAGAGCCTTGAGGAAACACAAGCAGGCTTCTTGCCCGAGTCGAGTGCTTGTTTCACATTGGCAGGGGACACGGCCTCGTTCTTTTTCGACTCCTATCGTGGGACTTTATGTGATTCTAGAGCGCCCTACATTTAACTAGCTGCAGATAACGCCAAAAAGATAGCATCCCTAAGTTCGATAAAGAGTAGCATCAGTTAGTATTAAAGGGCACCAGCATTTTTTTTAAAGCGGTGCTGAGACAATAAAACAAAGCCACCATTGAGAATCTGTCTGTTGGAATCGATCTAGCCACGAGATACGACAAGTGCTCCAATTCTGGGGACTCGTGGGAGGTTCAGGTGGACTAGATTTCTCGGTGACTTCTTTGGATTTGGACTCCAGTTCTAGAAGGTCAAAAAGTGTGGAGACAACGGGACATTTGGTGTTTCTGCACAGATCAAGAAGGTCAAAGAGTGGAGACAAAGAGACTTTTGGTGTTTCTGTACAGACCTACACGGCCGAAAGGTGTGGAGACTTTGAGACATTTGGCGTTTCTGTACAGATCTACACGGCCGAAAGGTGTGGAGACATTGAGACATTTGGCGTTTCTGTACAGGTATAGACGGCTGAAAGGTGTGGAGACATTGAGACATTTGGAGTTTCTATAAAGGTTTGAGGACAGAAACCGCTGGCTGTAAGTTAAGGATTAAAAATCGAGACTCAGGTTTTGGATGAAACAAAACAGAAAAATGTCTACCACTCACCCTGATACTGATACCGAACCAAAAGAGAATATAGACCTAAATGAAAACTTGGAAAAAGAAATCGAAACGAAGTCCACCAGCTCTAAAAAGTTGGAGGTTCAAATCTCCTTCAGAAGCTTGTTCCTCAACGGTTTTGTGGCTTATTTCTTTATAGGGCCCTGCGTTGTGGTGTTTTGGGGCTCCACATGGACAATTCTTACCAAATATTTCCTCCCCTACGGACCAGTCATTTCGTATTTATCAGTCGCGGCTTTTGGCTACGTCTTATGCTTCAGCGCATCTGTGTTCCAAGAAAGACTACAAAACTTTTCCTCCTCGAAAATTGGATTTGTACCTCGTCACATCCTGGTTCGTGTTTACTCCTACGTCATGTGCGTGGCTTGTGTGAGCGAGTGGTGGGGGTTGTGGGGGATACTCGACTACGCCATCGGGAAAGGTATGTTGGTGCAGGCCTTGACTTGTTCCGGAGCGTCTTTGGTCATGTTCGTTCTCCGTTGTCACAGCACGACCGTCTCTCCCCCCGTCCTGACCCCCATGGATATACCAACAGACGAGAACTACAGGATGAGCACGTTCTTTAGTTCGAAAGTAAGAAATGTGTCACGATAATAATAATAACAATAATGATAATAATGATAATAATGATAATGATAATAATTATTATAATAATGAGGCAGCATGGTGGAATCAGGCTCTCGTCAATTTTTGGGCATGTAGAGTTATTGGTATCATCTTAAAGCTTTTTCACTTGTCTTTATTTGGATGAAAAAAATATTCATTTATCTTGAATACAAGTCGAGATATTTGCGAAAGAATGAGGTGGGGGTCACCTGTTTTCAGTGGTAAAATTAGAGAGAAAATGGCCGCCAAAGATTTGTTATTTTCTTAGTCCGTAGTAACTGAAAATTTACATTTTTTGTGTGCCTTTAATCAACGTTTTTCAGAAATGTTCACGAAGAAATTAGTTCTTTAATGGGCATGAAAGGTGTTGAGCCTAAAAACAAAAATTTGATAAAAAATTCACAAACCTGCGGAATAATGCAAATTTCTTCACTTTGAGTATTTTGACGAGCGCCTGATTCCACCACGCTGCCTCACATATATAACAATAATAAT